CCCATTTTTTAGTATTGTGAAAGAATTCCTCTTACAATAGATGTACACATTTAATCTGGTAGTGTTTCTTTTTCCCTAAATAGTTTTGAGGAGGACATTTTACTATTGAAGGTGTTACAGAATTGAGGAGATGCAGTATTATAAAACACCTTCCCACTACCAGGGCAAACACTGCACTATACCAGGTAGTCATGGATATTTGACTTGAAAAACCAGAGTTATAAAAAACGAATCTTATATTTTATACATGTCACTGTTACCCCGATTCAGTCTACATTGATTTGGGGCCATTGTAAGAGTGTCGTTGGCTATGATTTTTCACTGCTTTTCTGAGACAGGTCAGCACCACACTATTGTTTTATAGTTCTCTATATGTTCTTAAGGAGCTCTGGTGGCACAGTGGTTAACATATTTGGATGCTAACCAAAAAGTTTGAACCCACCAGCTGCACTGTAGAAGAAGGATGAGGCAGTCTGCTTCCACAAAGATTTACAGCCTTGGAAGCCTATGGGGCAGTTCTGCTGTGTCCTGTAGGGTCACTATAAATTGGAATTGACTCAATGCCAGTGGGTTGGATTTGGTTATATACATGTTAGGTGGTTTTTTGTTGTTTGTTATTGGGGCTGTTATTATAATCAAAGCCAGAGATAAGTGAACTGAAACTCTGTGGAAAATAAAGACAACCACGATTCTGAACTTAAAAAGTGAATTTTAAATACATATATCTCCCCTAATACATAGATCAGTCTGAGATAAAGATGGAGTAAAACAGTCATCAGTGGGCTCTCATATTAATCAAGTAACAGCCCTTCTGTTTACTCCTCTTCTTTCTGCTTCTTCTTGTGCTTGTAGAAAGGAGTTAGGTCAAATTCCCCTTCAAAGCCTAAAATGAGGCTTAAGACAGAGTGAAGGCACTGAAGCTGGAGACCTTGCTTCTGGCACCAGCTCTGCTGCTAGCTGTGTGACACGGGCAGGTTGCTTAACCCCTCTGGACACCCATTTCCTCATCTGCAAATGATGGTTTTGGGCTCTGATCTCTGTAGTCTCTTTCAGCCTTTAAATTCTTTAAGAATATTGCTGCTGGAAAAGCTGGTGCTGATATGGGAATGCAGAGGAAGGGCAGAAAGAATTTTCACACCCAACACCTCTGTCTTAGTTCTCTAGTGCTGCTATAACAGAAATACTATGAGTGTATGCTTTAACTAACATCACAATGTTTGGGGTGTTCTTGTCTCACAGTTCAGGAGGCTGGAAGTCTGAATTCAGGGCACCGGCTTGAGGGGAAGGCTTGTTTTCTCTGTCTGCTCTGGGGCAAGTCCTTGAACCCTTGGCTCCTTGGCACTTTTCACGTGGCGTGGCATCTGTCTTCTGCCGTCTCTGCTTCTTTAATCTGCTCACATCTCAGGAGAGACTGACTCAAGACACACCCTCAGTAACACAATGAGGAAAGCCCATTCCCAGACGGGATTATAACCACAGGAATGTTGTTGTTATGTGCCTTCGAGTCGGACCCGACTCGTAGCGACCCCTCCTTGGGTTTCTGAGGCAGTATCACTACGGAAGTAGATTGCCTCATCTTCCTTCCGAAGAGTGGCTGGTGGGTTTGAACCAGCCTTCTGGTTAGCAGTCAAGTGCCTTAGACACTATGCTACCAGAGCTCCCAACCACAGGAATAGGGGTAGGATATACAACACATATTTGAAGGAGACATAATTCAATCAACCGATGAAAACCATTCTGTCATCCTTTGTGAGGTTGGAACTCTCCCCTTTCCCCACAGGATCATTCTCTGGTCTCTAGCTCTCCCTGCCTTCTTTCTTTCTTCCCTTTCCTTTTTGATTGATTTGTTGGTTTATTTTTAACTTTCTTAATTCATTTTTCTCTCCCACTGCCATGAGCCACCTATTAACATCTGCATGTGGGCTAAAGGTATTATTCGCTGATCTGTGGCATCTTTCCTCTGAAAGATTTCCCTTTAATGCTTTTGTCGAGAATGGTCAAATCTAATCTTGTTATTCCTTATTTACTAATTCAGGGGGAGCTATCTTAATCTCCTAAAGGAATGTTATTGTAGAATTTATAAGAGACATTGATTTTCAATCTCATTTAACAAACAATATTTATGGAACACCTACAAGGTGTCAGACACTGGTCTAGTTCTGAGGCAGCAGCAGTAAAGAAGAAAGATGGGTCCCTGCTCTCATAAAGCTTGTATCCCAGTGGGAAGAGACATACAAGTAAATAAACAATATTTAAACTAAGAAACTTCCAGATGATGACATGCACTATGAATAAAACAGGAGCAGGGATGGGGATGACGGTGGGCCTCTCTCACCCTCATTGTTGCTGACATCTGAAGAATGAGTAAAAACCAAACCCAACCCATTGCCATCAAGTCGATTCTGACTCTTAGCAACCCTATAGAACAGAAAAGAACTGCACCATAGGGTTTCCAAGGCTGTAATCTTTATGGAAACACATCTTTCTACAATAGAGCAGCTAATGGGTTTAAACCGCTGACCTTTCAGTTAGTGGTCAGCAGCTGAGCACTTAACCACCAAGGCTCCTAAAGAATGAGTAGGAACCAGGAATTAAGTGTTCCTGGCAGAAGAGCCTGCAAGTGCAGGGCCCCAGAGATGCAAATGAACTTAGTGCATTGAAGGAACTGAAAGGGGGCTGGATGGTAAATTAGCAAAAGGGAGTGTTACCTGAGATGAGGTCAGAGGGCCAGGGAGGGGCCAGATGAATGAATCTTTGTACGCCTTGGCAAAAAGTTTAGACTTTATTGTAGTGCATTGAGAAGCCGTTGGAGGACTTTAAGCAAGGGAGGAGCGTTATCTGATGTATGTTCTGTGATGCATAGCAGACGCCTCAGTGTCCACAGATGACCCAAACTAAGCAACTACTCCCTTGTGTTTCTCAGCCTTCTAGGTGACATGCTCCCTTTTACTTGAGCTTTCCCTAATGTATGGGATTAATTGTACACTGTGTGTGTGCTAAGTGTGTGTATGTATGTGTGTTTGGAGTACTTTACTTAGAGAACTTCAAAATAACTCTATAAATACACAGAGAAATCATCATATTGCCCATGTTCTGTTTTTAGACCCAACTATAGTTAGACTTCCCCAAAGATTCACTCAAGCAGTTACTTAGTAATTTATCAAGTGTTCTGTTCTCCCAAGGGTTGGCAGAGGGAAAAGTGGATGATATCTGCAGGCCTCGCCATCTATCTAGCCCCACATCTGCATGCATTTATTCACAAATATATATTAAGTGTCTCTTGGACTCCAGGCCCTGCGCTAGGCAAGGTGAACCAAGTCCCTTCCTTCAAATGGCTCCTGGCAAAGTAGGAAACTCTTGGTCACTAATCCTTGGAAATTCTGCTTCTAGGAATTCTGCCAGTGCCCAGTCCTGGTGTCATTGAGTCCCTGGTTGGCACAAATGGTTAAGGGCTTGACTGCTAGCCAAAAGGTTGGCTGTTTGAACCCACCCAGAGGCATCTCAGAAAATAAGCCTGACAATCTGCTTCCAAAAGTCACACCCTTGAAAACTGTGCATACATGGGGTTGTCATGAGTTGGAATTCCAACAATGACGACAACCTGGCATCATGAACTCTGCCCACACAATTAGACTTGTATCTCACAGAATTTAGTTGGAAAGATCTTAGACATCAATGCCAGTACTGATATTTTGGATGGAACTGTCCTAAACACTGTAGGAAATTTTGCATTTCAAGCCCCGCCCACTAGATCTTACAGGCCCTGCCTCCCATTACCACCCTTTGCCCCTAACTAAGAATAGCTCCACACATTTCAGCAGCCACCTGAATTGAGAACCACTGGTCTAGCACGGTCCTGTCGCTTCACGGGTTAGAGAATGTGAAGGAACTGGGGGTCTTTTCATGCCTCTTTCCTCTGAGCCCAGCAGAATCAGGTGACAGCATGCAAATTTTACAGTGAAGTTATCTGAAATGTTTCTGTTTTTCATTCTTTCAACTAGTACTGTTTTCTCAGAGTTACATGGTAAGTGTTTTCAATTTAAATCAGAATCTTTCAGATGGGTCATAAAATTATAAGCATTTTCAGATTGTTCAATACATAGCTCAAGGTTTTAGTATTTTTTATACTTCCGATGATGGTGCAGGACCAGGCAACATTTCATTCTGTTGTGTGTGGGGTTGCTCTGAGTTGGAATCAACTCACTGGCACCCACCAACAGCAACAACATTTCCTACCTACATTCTATTCTCCTTTCAAAGTCCCTTAATAATTTTGAGAAATCTGACTTTCTTCCTCCTGCCCTCATTTTCCCCATACATTTGTCGAGCATCTTCTTAGGAGAGTTTATTATTTCCCCATTAAGTACACAGGACAGAAAAGAAACATTTTGGCAGAGAAAACTGCATCTGCAGCTGACTTGAGTTGCATTTCATTTATCCTGACTTTAGCATTAAAATCACATTTCAAAACTCGTTGGCCATTCGGTACCTGACCTGCTTGCTCTCTCACCACCTGCTTTTGTAACTTTCTCCCTACACACTTGAATGCTCTTATAGTGGAGGAAGCATCACTTACCCTAACTATTAGTGTGGCTGAGAGCTTCCATTTCTTTGAGTGACTCTCTTCCTTAATTACCAAGGGGAATAGTCAGTATTGAGAGTGATGCTTTCAAATAGAATTTTCCTGAAAGACTCTTAAGTTTTGTGAACAACTCTTTATTTTTGTGTTTAGAATAAAGCTGGGCTGCTAACTAGACAGAGGTGTCGATCTCCTCCTGTCACTGTACCAAACAGATATATTATACCTTGGGAGAAGGAGAAACATACTTAATTTTGTTTTTAATTTAGGTGGTTCCCCCCCCCCTTGTTTACTTCTTAAGTAAAACCAATCTAGTTTCTTTTTTCTACAGCAAAGGAGGAAGGAACAAGCAACATATTAATCAGACAGGAAGCAAATAGCCACAGAAGGACATCTTCCTCTGACTCAGTGTGTCACATTTAACAGGAGGCCACAGCTTGTCCAAAATGGCTGGCTAACGACCCTAAGTTTGCACTAGAAGATGATGCCTTTTTCAGGGACGATTTTCTCTCTTGGCTCGTGTCTCGTGTGCTCTCTGTCTGCCTGTGTCCCTGATCATGCATGTCCTGCAGTATCCTTTAATGGTAAGAAAAATTATATTGAAACTAAGTGTATTTGCCTTACTAGTTAGAGGGAAGAACTAAATAGCTTTTAATGGGCCATAGTCTGTGAGGTAAAGCTGTTTAATTTTTCAGAAGGCCCCGTGATTGGTTCCCGCTGCACAATGCTGGTGCCCCATTATGGTGATTGTGACTCCCAGCTTGTGTTTTGAGCCACAATATAAACAGAATTTTCAGTAGAATTTTTCCTGACCACTGGACAATTTTGGGTCCACAGGAATTTTTTTTTTTTTTACATTTAAAATGATCATTTATGTCAGTAAACATATCCTTACCTTGGATGGTGCAGTTGTCCACACAATTGCCTTTATTCAAAGGCAGTTTTGTGGTTTGGTCAGCAACAGTAATTGCTTTTAAAATAAAGGGTCATTGGAAGCTTCAAAGGAAAGCACCATGGTGCTAAGCTGTTGCCATGCAATTGCTACAAACATGTTACTTAAATCTCAAACTGACCAGTTGGCATAAGTAGTGTATCTAGTAGAAAATGGAAAAGTGGTGGATTGAAGAAAAGGTAGCAAAGCACTGTGATTGAGAAGAGTAGGAGAGCTTGGCAGAGAGGATAGGTGGAAAGGCAGGGGAGAGACTCAGGGTGGTGAGAGAGAAAGACGAGAAGGCTGGAAAAGATTTAAGGTCAGTTAGCATAGAAGCCGTACCTTTACTGTCCATTTGGCTCATGGGTCTTAGAATTATAGGTTAACTTCATAAAGGGATGTTGCTTTTGAACTGGAACATCATCTAGTCAAAACTCTTCATTTATAGGTCCATCCAATCCCAAACTCGCTGTCATGGAGTCGATTCAGACTCATAGTGACCCTGTGGGACAGAATAGAGCTGCCCTATAGGGTTTCCAAGGCTATAAATCTTTATGGAAAAAGACTGCCACATCTTCCTCCTATGGACTGGCTGGTAGGCTCAAACAGCTGACCTTTTGGTTAGCAGCTGAGCAGGGTTCCTAAATAGGTCCATAGAGATTAGATAATTTATCTACAATTGCAGGCTTTCTAAGGCTCTTCAGAAATTTCTTTCATGGTTTAATTAGCCACAGCTCTTCAACTACTCTAACACCTAAGCCTTTAAACATACTGTGTAAGCACGCTTGATACAGTGTGATATTCAGAGAACTCCTCACAGAAAAAAATTATTCCCTGGATCTAGCAGCAGTTTCACCCTGATCATGATGAAATAAAATACCAGATCTGGTTTGTAAGCCAGGACATCCCTAACCTATCCTAAGAGGTAAGAGGAAATGAGCTACCCAGTTCCTGGACTTGACGAGTTTTATGCCCTTTTTAAAGTCTGCTTAACATTTCATGAACACGTCATTTACTTTAGACTTTTCTGGGTATTTAAATTGTGTTGAGTTTCTGCTCTAAGATTTGACTTGTTTTTGTTTTTCCAAATTGCCATGTATTTGCTTCTCATAGGAAAGAGCATTTTCCCCTGGACTGCTGCAAATACCTCTGTTTGTATTTTGCAACCCTCAATCCTGAAAATTAAACTTTTAAGTAAATAAATAAGGAACAGCTTAATCAATGTGCATTTCTGATACATACTTTGTACACATCTTCCTTCAGCGTCCATGTGTAATACAGAGGTTTGCGTGTGTGTGCACGTGTGGGCCGAGGTTTCAATCAGCTCGTGGTTTTTCTTTCTCACGGTTAAATGACGGGAAGGAGATAACAGTTATCCAGCACTTACAGTAGGGTGCCAGGCTCTTTACAAAGCATTTTGGTTATATTGTTTTACAAAATGGCTAATATTTACTAAGCAGTGCCTCATTTAACCCTAAAATAACTCTACTAAGTAAGTACTATTATCCCCATTTTCCTGCAGAAACTAGGATTTAGAGAGGCTAAATAGGTTGCCTGAGGCCACCTAAGTATGTGAAAGTTGGGGTAATTTCGAGAGCTTTCTTTGTAAGTGCGATTTTGAGACAATTTATGATTTCTTAGAGTCATTGCCAGTCCTGGGAATCTGGAATTACACAAATATTTTGTTTTAAATGACACAGCAATAGTAAATACCTTTAAAATTAATAATCTCAAGTAAGATGTTTTCCAGCTTTCTTGTCTTTTTGGAAGTAAATTTGGTGAACTTCTACATGTGTTACAAGGCCACACTTACAGTGATAAAATGAGCAAAATACATCAAGTGTGTTGATATATGTATTCCAATTGTGTGTGTGTCTGTGTGAGTGTGAGGGGATGGGGGGGCACATCTTAATCCTCTGATAAAACTAAATGTGGTGCTAAAGATTTGGCAAAAAGTTTAGTTTTGAGATTTGACCCTTTACTGAGAGCACTTAGAAGAGACAACAGCGGAAGACAACTGACACCTTATTATTTACATGCATAAAGTAAGAAGCATTTCCCAAAAAAATAATCCCACAGTTAAATATGACAGATATGGGAGTCATTCAGCTACCTTCATTTTCTCACTTTTAAAAGGTTCTTGGATTTCTATGAAACCTACAACTGTCATATTAATTTTTGAAATAATACATATGACAGCATATTAAAAAAATATTACTTCATGGTAATCTTTATGCCTCCAGCAGTTACTCTTACAGGAGAAGTATGAGTTTGAGTCCAAGCTTCTAGCTAACCTTAATGTCATTGTAGATGCTTCAAAACACCTTGCTTGAAAAATGCCTTTCCTGACCGCCCCCCAAAAAAACAAATCAATTGTTTACCTAAAAGAACCCTAAAGTAAGCATTTCTACAATAGCCAGGGACCCTCAAAGTACAGCAGAGACATGAACCTTGCAAGGGAGGAGACAGCCTAAGCAGAATTCCATTAAACTTTTGTTTTACATGATGAGCCAGGGGAAAGGAGGAAGGAGGAACGGTCATGTACAGCAGGCATGTATTCCACCCTGGCTCTAACCGAAGAGCAACAGTGATAAATAACTAACCAGGTGAGGCTGTTTCCTTGTTTATAAAGTAAAGCTTGTTTCTTTTCTCTGCCTTTTGCTTCCTCTTAGGTTCAGTGGCCTTTTTTTTTCTTTTTCCTCTTGTATTGGTTGGTTGTTGCCTACAGGCTGGAGTGAGAGCCTTTACCCTGAGAGGGAGAGTAACAATAATAGAAACATACCTTTCTGCAAAGGAATGAACAGTGTGAAATGGCCCAACAACATGCTTTTATTGTAAGGGTTGGGGAGGTGGGGCTGTTGCACAGTGACTCATATCATGAAGTAGAAACTACAGGCAATTGCAGCTGTGAAAAGATTGTGTTAAAGAAACAGGATGGCTGTGGTTTACTGTGAGCACCAATTTTCCTGTTGAGCATTTTTACAGGAAGTTGAAGAACAAAGCCAAATTCATTCTTAATTAGTTCTAATGGTTTTTAGATCTTAAATACATGCATGCATTCACATCATGGAGTCTCCAAAGAATAGACTCAAGAAGAATTATGAGTAGGAATCTCAAATCTACGGGGACTTTAAAAATGTCAGGATTTTTAGCAGCATTTTGAGTTCATTAAGTGATTTTATTTTTGCATTAGAACACTGTTGAATTATAAATTTCCTTTGATTAATATTTATTGGTCAAATAATGGTGTCTATGTATATATGTTGTGTGTGTGTGTGTGTGTTTATAAGCTATGGTAGTTAAGTTTGTGTGTCAACTTGGCTGGGCCTGGTTGAGTGGCTGGGAATCTGAATGTAGTATTCCTGGTGATGAGACTGGTAATCAGCTCCATGGTAAAATCTACTGGGAGCAGCTGAGTGACTGCCTTAGGGATGTGGTACACTTCCTGTATATAAGGAGAAGGCTTGGGGAATGGTCTCTAGCTTATGGCACGCTTGAACCCTGCTTATGGCCGTGTCATTGTTCAGCAGCCTGCCATGCTCTGCCAACCTTGCGACTTCCAATGGACTTGAATTAATGACCTGCCATGTGGTTTGGTAACATCAGGACTGTGCCTTTTACTTGTCAACCTTTGGCTTGTCAGTCTCAGCTGTCAGCAGCTGTCTGAATGAAGAAAAGCCTCCAGCTTCAGTGGGCTGGAAGCAGGAGGCAGAGCTGAAGCCTGAGGTTGAGGGCTTTCACCCAACCCCTAGAGCTTGGCACTTTGAACTCGGACTTAAAGCCTCCAAACTGTAAGAGAATAAATTCCTGTTTCTTCAAGCCATCCCATTTGTGGTATATTCCTGTCAGAGCGACAGTAGGTAACCAGAACTAAGCTGAAAGGATATACATCAAAACGTTAACAATGCATATCTCTGGGTATTATTAACTCCTAACCCTTTTCACCTAAAGTTAATTACTGTCAAATGCTTCATTTAGTAGTTAAATGCAACTCTTGGTATTTTATTGTCATCTTTTGTGCCTTTTTGTATCGTTCACACAGAATAGTACTTAAGGGTGACCTTTGATTTAGAGAGCAAAATGCTTTATATATTTGAATATTCCAAAGTAGTCATAAAACACAACTGGATAAACCTGTTTCTTATCTAATAGAATTTGGCCGATTTGGGTGGCCCACCCCTCAGGATTGTTGAGCAGCCTGTGTGCATTGGGGGACTGTTGGATATCTCCCTCTTCCCTGTGTCACTCTGTAGTGTGGGCCTCACACAGTGTGGTCTAGAATGAACTTGAAGTTGGAAGGTTGGGCAATCTACTTCCGTAGTGATATCACCTCAGAAACCCAAGCCAAGTTGGGTCCGACTCGACAGCACATAACACAACAACAACAACAAGAAACTAAGGAACAGTTTATCTAAACAAGTCAGTTCTCCTGATCCGAAGGAGACTGAACATTTTACATTCATGGTTAATTCTACTTTCCATTATGGACACATTGCAGAAAAAACCTTGAGTTTGCTCAGCTGGTGTGGATGACTGTGGGCTGTGATTGAGCCTCTGATTGGCCATCCCGTTGGGGAGGATATTTCTCCTGCAGAGGTGAGCAGTGATATTAGCAATGCAGTTTCTTGCAAGGTGTAAGCAAATGGGTCCAGG